TAGCAGTAACCACCTGTATTAGGATTAACCACTGGCACTGTAGCAGTAACCATATGTACTGTAGCAGCAACCACTGTACTGTAGCAATAACCACTGTATTAGGATTAACCACCGGCACTGTAGCAGTAACCATATGTACTGTAGCAGTAACCATATGTACTGTAGCAGTAACCACCTGTATTAGGATTAATCACCTGTACTGTAGCAGTAACCACCTGTACTGTAGCAGTAACCATATGTACTGTAGCAGTAACTACATGTACTGTAGCAGTAACTACATATACTCTAGCAGTAATCACCTGCATTAGCAGTAACCACCTGTACTGTAGCAGTAACCACCTGTATTAGGATTAACCACCTGTACTGTAGCAGTAACCACCTGTACTGTAGCAGTAACCATATGTACTGTAGCAGTAACCACATGTACTGTAGCAGTAACTACATATACTCTAGCAGTAACCACCTGCATTAGCAGTAACCACCTGTACTGTAGCAGTAACCACCTGTATTAGGATTAACCACCGGCACTGTAGCAGTAGCCATATGTACTGTAGCAGTAACCACCTGTATTAGGATTAACCACCTGTGCTGTAGCAGTAACCACCTGTATTAGAATTAACAACCTGTAATGTAGCAGTAACCATGTGTATTAGTAGTAACCATCTGCACTGTAGCAGTAACCACCTGTATTAGGATTAACCACCTGTACTGTAGCAGTAACCACCTGTATTAGTAGTATCACCTGTACTGTAGCAGTAACCACCTGTATTAGCTGTAACCACCTGTACTGTAGCAGTAACCACCTGTACTGTAGCAGTAATCACCCGTACTGTAGCAGTAACCACCTGTACTGCAGCAGTAACCACCTGTACTTTAGCAGTAACCACTTGTAGTGTAGCAGTAACCACTTGTAGTGTAGCAGTAACCACCTGTATTATGAGTAACCACCTGTACTGTAACAGTAACCATCTGTATTAGCAGTTACCCCATGTACTGCAACAGTCGCTTCCTGTACTTAGGAGTCGCTTTCTACACTGTAGCAATCACCATCTGCACTGTAGCAGTTGACAACAACTGTAGCAGTCACATTTCTGTCGTCGACAACACTAATTCAAGTGTCGACATCTGTACTGTAGCAGTTGCCATCTGCACTGTAGCAGTCGTCATCTGTACTGTAGCAGTTGTCATCTGCACTGTAGCAGTCGTCATCTGTACTGTAGCAGTTGTCATCTGCATACTGTGGCAGTCGTCATCTGCACACTGTGGCAGTCGTCATCTGCACTGTTGCAGTAGTTATCTGCACTGTGGCAGTCATCATCTGCACTGTAGCGGTCGTCATCTGCACTGTAGTAGTCGTCATCTGCACACTGTAGCAGTCGTCATCTGCACTGTGGCAGTCGTCATCTGCACTGTGGCAGTCGTCATCTGTACTGTGGCAGTCGCATTACTGTGTTGTAGCAGTCGTCATCTGCATTGTGGCAGTCATCATCTGTACTGTAGCAGTCGTCATATGCATTGTGGCAGTCGTCATCTGCGCTGTAGCAGTAGTCATCTGCACTGTAGCAGTCGTCATCTGCATTGTGGCAGTCGTCATCTGCACTGTGGCAGTTGTCATATGCACTGTGGCAGTCGTCATCTGCACTGTAGCAGTCGTCATATGCACTGTGGCAGTCGTCATCTGCACTGTGGCAGTCGCATTACTGTGTTGTAGAAGTCGTCATCTGCATTGTGGCGGTCATCATCTGTACTGTAGCAGTAGTCACATGCATTGTGGCAGTCATCATCTGCGCTGTAACAGTAGTCATCTGCACTGTAGCAGTCGTCATCTGCATTGTAGCAGTCGTCATCTGCACTGTGGCGGTTGTCATATGCACTGTGGCAGTCGTCATATGCACTGTGACAGTCGTCAGCTGCACTGTAGCAGTCGTCATATGCACTGTAGCAGTCGTCATATGCACTGTGGCAGTCGTCATATGCACTGTGGCAGTCGTCATCTGTACTGTGGCAGTCGTCATCTGCACGCACCGTGGCAGTGGTCATATGCACTGTGGCAGTCGTCATATGCACTGTAGCAGTCGTCATATGCACTATATCAGTTGTCACCTGTACTGTAGCAGTTGTCATCTGCACTGTAGCAGTCGTCATCTGTACTGTAGCAGTTGTCATCTGCACACTGTGGCAGTCGTCATCTGCACACTGTGGCAGTCGTCATCTGCACACTGTGGCAGTCATCTGCACACTGTGGCAGTCGTCATCTGCACTGTTGCAGTAGTTATCTGCACTGTGGCAGTCATCATCTGCACTGCAGCAGTAGTCATCTGCACACTGTGGCAGTCGTCATCTGCACTGTGGCAGTCGTCATCTGCACTGTGACAGTCGTCATCTGCACTGTGGCAGTCATCATCTGCACCATCATCTGCACTGCAGCAGTAGTCATCCGCACTGTGGCAGTCATCATCTGCATTGCAGCAGTAGTCATCCGCACACTGTGGCAGTCGAAATACTGCACTGTAGCAGTCGTCATATGCACTGTGGCTGTAGCATTACTGTACTGTAGCAGTCGCCTGCACACTGTGGCAGTCGCATTACTGTACTCTAGTCGTCGTCATCTGCTCTGTGGCAGTCGTCATCTGCACTGTAGCAGTCGTCATCTGCACTGTGGCAGTCGTCATCTGCACTGTAGCAGTCGCATTACTGCACTGTAGCAGTCGTCATATGCACTGTGGCTGTAGCATTACTATATTGTAGCAGTCGTCTGCACACTGTGGCAGTCGCATTACTGTACTCTAGTAGTCGTCATATGCACTGTGGCAGTCGTCATCTGCACTGTAGCAGTCGTCATATGTACTGTAACTGTCGCCATCTGCATTGTAGAAGTCGTCATCTGCACTGTGGCAGTCGTCATAGGCACTGTAGCAGTCGTCATATACACTGTAGCAGTCGTCATATGCACTGTGGCAGTCGTCATATGCACTGCGGCAGTCGTCATATGTACTGTGGCAGTCGTCATCTGAACTGAGCAGTGGTTAAATGCACTGTAGCAGTCGTCATCTGCACTGTAGCAGTCGTCATCTGCACTGTAGCAGTCGTCATCTGTTCTGTGGCAGTCGCATTACTGCACTGTAGCAGTCGTCATATGCACTGTGGCTGTAGCATTACTATACTGTAGCAGTCGTCTGCACACTGTGGCAGTCGCATTACTGTACTCTAGTAGTCGTCATATGCACTGTGGCAGTCGTCATATGCACGGTGGCAGTCGTCATATGCACTATGGCAGTCGTCATCTGCACTGTAGCAGTCGTCATATACACTGTAGCAGTCGTCATATGCACTGTGGCAGTCGTCATATGCACTGTGGCAGTCGTCATATGTACTGCGGCAGTCGTCATCTGCACTGAGCAGTGGTTATATGCACTCTAGCAGTCATCATCTGCACTGTGGCAGTCGTCATATGCACTGTGGCAGCCGTCATCTGCACCGTGGCAGTGGTCATATGCACTGTATCAGTGGTCATATGCACTGTAGCAGTGCCATATGCACTGTAGCAGTCGTCATATGCACTGTAGCAGTCGTCATATGCACTGTAGCAGTCGTCATCTGTACTGTAGCAGGCGTCATCTGTACTGTAGCAGTAGCCATCTACACTGTAGCAGTCGTCATATGCACTATGGCAGTCGTCATCTGCACTGTGACAGTCGTCATCTGCACTGTGGCAGTCGTCATCTGCACTGTAGAAGTAGTCATCTGCACACTGTTGCACTCATCTGCACTGTGGCAGTCGTCATCTGCACTGTAGCAGTCGTCATCTTCACTGTAGCAGTCGTCATCTGCACAATAGAAGTCGCCATCTGCACTGTGGCAGTCGCATTACTGTACTGTAGCAGTCGCATTACTGTACTGTAGCAGTCGCATTACTGTACTGTAGCAGTCGTCATTCGTACTGTAGCAGTCCTCATCTGCACTGTGGCAGTCGCAATACTGTACTGTAGCAGTCGTCATCTGCACTGTGGCAGTCGTCATCTGCACTGTAGCAATCGTCATCTGCACTGTGGCAGTCGCATTACTGTACTGTAGCAGTCGTCTGCACACTGTGGCAGTCGCATTACTGTACTCTAGTAGTCGTCATATGCACTGTGGCAGTCGTCATCTGCACTGTAGCAGTCGTCATATGTACTGTAGCTGTCGTCATCTGCATTGTAGAAGTCATCTGCACTGTGGCAGTCGTCATATGCACTGTGGCAGTCGTCATATGCACTATGGCAGTCGTCATATGCACTATGGCAGTCGTCATCTACACTGTAGCAGTCGTCATATACACTGTAGCAGTCGTCATATGCACTGTGGCAGTCGTCATATGCACTGCGGCAGTCGCCATATGTACTGTGACAGTCGTCATCTGAACTGAGCAGTGGTTATATGCACTGTAGCAGTCGTCATCTGCACTGTAGCAGTCGTCATCTGCACTGTGCAGTCGTCATCTGCACTTTGGCAGTCGCATTACTGCACTGTAGCAGTCGTCATATGCACTGTGGCTGTAGCATTACTATACTGTAGCAGTCGTCTGCACACTGTGGCAGTCGCATTGCTGTACTCTAGTAGTCGTCATCTGCTCTGTGGCAGTCGTCATATGCACTGTGGCAGTCGTCATATGCACTATGGCAGTCGTCATCTGCACTGTAGCAGTCGTCATATACACTGTAGCAGTCGTCATATGCACTGTGCCAGTCGTCATATGCACTGTGCCTGTCGTCATATGTACTGTGGCAGTCGTCATCTGCACTGAGCAGTGGTTATATGCACTGTAGCAGTCATCATCTGCACTGTGGCAATCGTCATATGCACTGTGGCAGCCGTCATCTGCACCGTGGTAGTGGTCATATGCACTGTAGCAGTGTCATATGCACTGTAGCAGTCGTCATATGCACTGTAGCAGTCGTCATATGCACTGCAGCAGTCGTCATCTGTACTGTAGCAGTCGTCATATGCACTGCAGCAGTCGTCATCTGTACTGTAGCAGTCGTCATCTGTACTGTAGCAGTAGCCATCTACACTGTAGCCGTCGTCATCTGCACACTGTAGCAGTCGTCATCTACACACTGTGGCAGTCATCATCTGCACTATTGCAGTAGTTATCTGTACTGTAGCAGTCGTCATATGCACTATGGCAGTCGTCATCTGCACTGTGACAGTCGTCATCTGCACCGTGGTAGCGGTCATATGCACTGTAGCAGTGTCATATGCACTGTAGCAGTCGTCATATGCACTATGGCAGTCGTCATATGCACTGCAACAGTCGTCATCTGTACTGTAGCAGTCGTCATCTGTACTGTAGCAGTAGCCATCTACACTGTAGCCGTCGTCATCTGCACACTGTAGCAGTCGTCATCTACACACTGTGGCAGTCGTCATCTGTACTGTAGCAGTAGTTATCTGTACTGTAGCAGTCGTCATATGCACTATGGCAGTCGTCATCTGCACTGTGACAGTCGTCATCTGCACTGTGGCAGTCGTCATCTGCACTGTAGCAGTAGTCATCTGCAAACTGTTGCAGTCATCTGCACTGTGGCAGTCGTCATCTGCACTGTAGCAGTCGTCATCTGCACTGTAGCAGTCGTCATCTGCACTGTAGAAGTCGTCATCTGCACTGTGGCAGTCGCATTACTGTACTGTAGCAGTCGCATTACTGTACTGTAGCAGTCGCATTACTGTACTGTAGCAGTCGTCATTTGTACTGTAGCAGTCCTCATCTGCACTGTGGCAGTCGCAATACTGTACTGTAGCAGTCGTCATATGCACTGTGGCAGTCGTCATCTGCACTGTAGCAGTCGTCATCTGCACTGTGGCAGTCGCATTACTGTACTGTAGCAGTCGTCATGTGCACACTGTGGCAGTCGCATTATTGTACTGCAGCAGTCGTCATCTGCACTGTGGCATTCGTCATCTGCGCTGTAGCAGTCGTCATCTGCACTGTGGCAGTCGCATTACTGCACTGTAGCAGTCGTCATATGCACTGTAGCAGTCGTCATCTGCACTGTAGCAGTTGTCTGCACTGTAGCAGACGTCATCTGCACTGGGGAAGTCGTCATCTGTACTCTAGCAGGCGCCATACGTACTGTAATAATCGATCTCTTCATTGTTGCAGTAACAATCTGTACTACAGCAGTTGCAATGTGCAATGTAGCAGTAGGACAACTCGTCATGTTATTCGTATTTCCATTGGTTGTACAAAATGTAAGTTGTAACAATTTGACAACGCAGACAAATGATGGATTAGTTGATGCATGCAAATTGTTAAGCTGTTACCCATGGTGAGATGCTTAGTGGATTACATAATCAAGTGATTACCGTGAAGTGCGTACTACGATAGTATACCAATCGAATTAAACACTCTCAGTTCTACTCAATGCAACAGGTAAATCGTGAAACATGGCGTTTCTCTATAGAAATATGCGTAGGAATTCAATTCAATTTCAGGTCCTAGGAAGAGGCTGTCATGTGTGACAGTTCAGTTTGTTATTCGCTGTTAACTGTTTTGGTGGCGCTATGGATTCATGTGGATATAGAAAATGTACCTTATCGTCTGTGACGCTATCATTGACATATACCTTAGATGCAGTATTATACACTAGAGAATAATTAGAATAGTATGAAGTAGTAGAGTGGTTAGTTACAGATGTAACCCGCTACATCTGCAACTTCTAGACGGATGAACAATTTACGCATAAATTGCTACAATTGCACTTATATCCTATCGGAAAATTGCTTCAAGTAATGATAATTTGTTGGCATATCCGGCGTTTTTTAAAGACTATCATCTGTACACAATTTTCATCTGTCGAAGGTTGACTTTCTTCTTCTCGTCAAGGAGGCATTTTGGGTATTTTTTCTACATTGAGATGTCTTGATTCTGTAAATATGGAATCGGCGTATATTGCCCTTTGGAATTTTTAGCTTTATTGGTTTTCATCATTGTGATTTTATTAACTCGGAAAAAAAATAATAATAATAATGACTACTGCACTTAGCCTATATAGTAGTCATTCTCTCTCGGTGATTGGAATTGTTTTTATCTCAACCGCCGATCATACTGACCTTTAGAATTTGGTCAATCACGAGAGTCCCTTACAATATATAATAGGCTGAGTGGTTGCGAACGGTGCAAACTTAATATAATTTTTAACAAAGTGAATTCTGACAAATTGGGGTAAAACGGAATTCCGCAACACAGTCCGCCTACTATAGAACGTAACCATAGTGACAATGACATTTTTATTAATACTAGTTTTCGATGTTGAATTTTTTTCATGCATAATTTAACCACTCAAAGACAATGCATGGATGTGAACAATTTCCATTTTATATTCGAGGTTGACCCATACTGTGTTATCACAATGAGATATTCAAATATATCCATACTGTGTTATCACGATGAGATATTCAAATATATCCATACTGTGTTATCACGATGAGATATTCAAATATATCCATCGTCAGTTTCCCTAATCGTCAAATCGTAACCGTAGAGGCGCCTCACCCGGTATACTAAACTGAACATGTATACCATCTGTATGCATATGTGTTCATCAAACGGCTGCCCACGTGACTCTAATTAGAACTAAAGTGCTCATATTTATGACCGTTCTGCCCGAAATAGAAAGCAAGAGCGTTTTAACATGTAACAAGACCAGAGCAGACTCAGTGGAAGCGAATATTGATTTTTTGCTACGAACACATATTGCCTGCATTTAAAACCATGTAAACTTTATTAGATTAATACAATTACAAATTGCAGAATTGTACTAGTGTGTCGTCATAAAGTCAGGAAAGGTTGCTTTTACTAAATAAAAAAATACAGGTTTATTTTGTGACTGCCATTCCTTCGATACTACCTTTTGATACTGTTGGCCGAGCTGACTGAATCGTTCGACCATTTTGTTTTTATATTTAGCAATATTTATATTGATTTCCACATGATCCTATTACACATTGGTTATATCAAAAGTCATCTTTTCTTCAACTATTTTTTTAGCTTAAATGATTCTTTACCTGACAAGACATGTTCACCAATTTTACAATTAGATTAGCAAACACGTAGATTAGCAAACACATAAACAAACAGTTTAAGTTTGCAACCCCTTTTAGCAATTGCTTAATTGGATGGTACGACGATTGATCTCATTTGCATAAAGGATTATCTGAAAAAAATAATAATATTGCTAACTTAACAGAACGGTGTCGAGGGCGACCTCCCTACTTTAAGAAGTGTTTTGCGTTAGAATGTCATCTCCTTCTAACTGTCCTTTTGTTTGTCGGCAAATAATCGTACCAAAATTTCAATCTTTGTATGGTAACATGCCCCAATGATGTTGCTACAGTAAGTAGTGTAATTTTAATGCCAATGCATTTATGTTTCTGGTGTATGATACAGCCACGTCTGCAAGTAGCATATACGTTAAGCATTGTAATTGTCTTATTCATAAATAAGTATAAAACCGTATCATCGATTCAGAATTACACAAAACAGAACACAATTGCCGTTAGGAATCCCATATAATTCAACTGATCCCGCTTTTTAACCATCATTTATTCTGTATCTTCAAAGTGACGTCATACCGTATGCACAGTCATATATTATAGTACGTATCATATTGAAATGTATCGAATTGTATTATATGTACTGCACTGTGTTGTGATGTACTGTGCTGTACTGCACTGTGTTGTGGTGTACTGTGCTGTACTGCACTGTGTTGTGTTGTGGTGTACTGTGCTGCACTGTGTTGTGATGTACTGTGCTGTACTACACTGTGTTGTGGTGTGCTGTACTGCACTGTGTTGTGGTGTACTGTACTGCACTGTGTTGTGGTGTACTGTGCTGTACTGTGTTGTGGTGTACTGTGCTGCACTACACTGTGTTGTGGTGTACTGTACTACACTGTGTTGTGGTGTACTGTACTACACTGTGTTGTGGTGTACTGTGCTGTACTGCACTGTGTTGTGGTGTACTGTGCTGTTCTGCACTGTGTTGTGATGTACTGAGATGTACTGCACTGTGTTGTGGTGTACTGTGCTGTACTGCAATGTGTTGTGGTGTACTGTGCTGTACTGCACTGTGTTGTGGTGTACTGTGCTGTACTGCACTGTGATGTGGTGTACTGTGCTGTACTGCACTGTGTTGTGGTGTACTGTGCTGTGCTGCACTGTGTTGTGGTGTACTGTGCAATACTGCACTGTGTTGTGGTGCACTGTGCTGTACTGTACTGTGTTGTGGTGTACTGTGCTGTACTGTACTGTGTTGTTGTGTACTGTACTGTACTGCACTACACTACACTGTGTTGTGGTGTTCTGTGCTGTGCTGCACTGTGTTTTGGTGTACTTTGCTGTACTGCACTGTGTTATGGTGTTCTGTGCTGTACTGCACTGTGTTGTGATGTACTGTGCTGTACTGCACTGTGTTGTGATGTACTGTGCTGTGCTGCACTATGTTGTGATGTACTGTGCTGTGCTGCACTGTGTTGTAATGTACTGTGCTGTACTGCACTGTGTTGTGATGTACTGTGCTGTACTGCACTGTGTTGTGATGTACTGTGCTGTGCTGCACTGTGTTTCGGTGTACTGTGCTGTACTGCACTGTGTTGTGATGTACTGTGCTGTATTGCACTGTGTTGTGATGTACTGTGCTGTACTGCACTGTGTTGTGATGTACTGTGCTGTGCTGCACTGTGTTTCGGTGTACTGTGCTGTACTGCACTGTGTTGTGATGTACTGTGCTGTATTGCACTGTGTTGTGATGTACTGTGCTGTACTGCACTGTGTTTTGGTGTACTGTGCTGTACTGCACTGTGTTGTGATGTACTGTGCTGTGCTGCACTGTGTTTTGGTGTACTGTGCTGTACTGCACTGTGTTTTGGTGTACTGTGCTTTACTGCGCTGTGTTGTGATGTACTGTGCTGTACTACACTGTGTTGTGATGTACTGTACTGCACTGTGTTTTGGTGTACTGTGCTTTACTACACTGTGTTGTGATGTACTGTGCTTTACTGCACTGTGTTGTGGTGTACTGTGCTGTACTGCAATGTGTTGTGGTGTACTGTACTGCACTGTGTTGTGGTGTACTGTGCTGTACTGCAATGTGTTGTGGTGTACTGTACTGTGCTGTACTGTGTTGTGGTGTACTGTGCTGTACTGCAATGTGTTGCGGTGTACTGTGCTGTACTACAGTATGTTGTGGTGTACTGTACTGTACTGTACTACACTGTGTTGTGGTGTACTATACTGTACTACACTGTGTTGTGGTGTACTGTACTGTGCTGTACTGCACTGTGTTGTGGTGTTCTGTGCTGTGCTGTACTACACTGTGTTGTGGTGTACTGCGCTGTACTACACTGTGTTGTGTTGTGGTGTACTGTGCTGTACTACACTGTGTTGTGGTGTACTGTGCTGTACTGCAATGTGTTGCGGTGTACTGTGCTGTACTACAGTATGTTGTGGTGTACTGTACTGTACTGTACTACACTGTGTTGTGGTGTACTATACTGTACTACACTGTGTTGTGGTGTACTGTACTGTACTGCACTGTGGTGTGGTGTACTGTGTTGTGGTGTACTGTACTGTACTACACTGTGTTGTGGTGTACTATGCTGTACTGCACTGTGTTGTGGTGTACTGTGCTGTACTGCACTGTGGTGTGGTGTACTGTGTTGTGGTGTACTGTGCTGTACTGCACTGTGTTGTAGTGTACTGTGCTGTGCTGCACTGTGTTGTGGTGTACTGTGCTGTACTACACTGCGTTGTGATGTACTGTGCTGTACTGCACTGTGTTGTGGTGTACTGTGCTGTACTGCACTGTGTTGTGGTTTACTGTGATGTACTGCACTGTGTTTTGGTGTACTGTGTTATACTGCACTGCACTGTGTTACCAGTGCCGCCACGAGACTTATAGGTACAAAGTACCTCTTGTTGACTCGTTTTAGAGACATTCACTCTCATTCTATTATTTCAGAAAATTTATATTTTTTTATAAAGCGACGGCACTAAAGTAAAGTCACCGGTTGAGTTCAATTCACTAGCTCAAAAGCAACCCTCTTGTTTGTTTTTTTACTAGGAATCGATATCAGTGGTCAGATTTTATGCCGAGTCACATTGGCAGTATAGTAATAAATATTCATAAGCTGATTTTGCAGTGTAACTCGTCCACCTACAATAATTTGATAGTTAAATGCATGTGAACAATTAAAATAAAACCTGAAACACGTGTAAACATTGCCACCACATATTCAGTCGAACGTAATTGATCTGTAAAAACTCCACGAAATATCAAAACAATTAAATCAGACATGGCAATACATCTGTGAGGGTTCCGTTAGAGTTGTTTTACGAGATATGTGTGACATAACTGTGTCTAACAACAACACCCACAGTTTCTATAGGAACATCGAACCGTCTAAGGTAACGCCAGTATTACCACATGACTGTGTTATCATATGCGAATAAAGTCGTAAGGTGCAAACGACTCATGGAATAATGTTATATTACGAGGTTTACTAATTGGGCAAGATAAAACAAAAACGACGCCACTTTGCAGTACTATATAGGTACCACAAAAGAAGAGGTACGATCGAGCTTACAGCTGAATCACGTGACCGGGATTGTTTACCTTTATTTGTAACACAGTCCCGGACTGTGTTTGTAACAACCCATCAGCCTTAAGCGCTATCAAATGCACACTACGGGCTAGGCTTATAAGAGAGATATTGGGGATAGGCGCGTAGATAAATTAGTAATTTCCGGCAAAAGTAACGCAATAAACCGTTTCAATTTATTCTCGCAGCTTAATAGAGGGAGGTTATATTTGTGTTATTTACGGCCTCGATATTGAGAAATGAAAAACATAATTGAGCCGAGTAATTAAGAGTGTATTACACACGTCGTCTCAAATGCTTGCCGTGGCGGTATATTGTCCGTATGCTGGATTACCACTTTATATTAGCATGCTACGTTATTAAAACTTTATTATTCAGATCTTCAAAGACTTAGTGGATTTGATATAAAGTAATCAGTCTGTGAATTAATGATTTACATTACTTGACGTGTTTACTGCAGACAACCTAGTCATGATAAGCAGATAATTAACTGTTCTATATTCTCGCTATTCTTATGTTTCTGTGTCGTGTAACATTATGCATTTCCCTTGAATGGAACAAAACACGTGGTCGTATTTTGTATTATTCAATCACGACATATATTACCTCTTGGGAGTCGTGACTACGTGAGAAATTCAATTCTCCAACAATTTTTTGGCAATTTGTTTAGGGTACTAAAGGCTCCCTAACTCCTCAAAATTGCTCCATGCCCCATGGCATTTTGACACTAATTTACATGCTGTGATTTGATTTGCTGTTTTGCCTCACTAGACCGTTATAATGCATCTATTTATGTGACATTATTTTTTAATATCATTACAGATGAACAAGGCGACTTCCGAACAGTAAGGGCTGCGTACTTACCTCTACATATGCTGTGTATGTAAACGTATCACCATCCAGTGAGTATATGCAATGTACGCTGAATTCGACATGTATTACAATAGTACTATTACACCCAGTGTGAATTATTCCAGAACTGTGGAATTTAATGACACGGAATGGATTTCCACTACCTCTACTGGGCCAGTCACGAATCGGACAACACAAACGGCAACATTGGTCACCCCAACGATGCTTTTGGAGGCGGTAACATATGGGTCGGGTGATTCAGCGACAACGCATACAGGCAAGGGACAGGCGTTTGTGTACGCTGTAGTCGGGAAACTAACATCGACGGCGCAGACATTAACGACAGAACATTTAACGCAGTATGTACCAGTTTCCATGACAACAAATGAATCATGTTACGACTGTCAGGCGGAGGAGGATTTCTGGCTAGTCTACCCTCCGATATGGTCGGTGTTTATTTTAGTATCTACTTTAATTGTGATTATCTTAACTACTATGGGAAATGTGCTCGTTATCGTAGCGTTCAGCAGGGAGAAAAAACTACGTAGTTTTTCAAACTTCTATATTCTGAATCTGTCCATGGCGGATCTCCTGATTGGTAGCTTTGCGATACCAATGTGTGTGCCGTATGTACTGCTTGGTAAATGGGTGATGGGTCCAGCTCTTTGCAAACTCTGGGTCATGATTGACTACACCTTATGCACATCGTCTTTGTTCAGTGTCGTCTTGATCACATTCGACAGGTACCTTTCTGTCACACGTGCAATAAAGTATAGAACACAGACAACGATTAAAGGCACTGTAATGAAGATGTCGTTGGCCTGGATTATTCCCTTACTGTTTTATGGTACTACAGTCATTGGCTGGGAATATTACACTGGAATAACTGTTCCCGGTGATCAATGTTACGCTGCATTCGCCGATAACTTTCCATTGACTTTCGCGCAAACTGTTCTAGAATTCTTTTTACCATTGATATTAATATTTTATTTCAATATCAGCATATTTGTAAATATTCGCAAACGGACGAAACGGTCCATCAAAAAAGTTCCCATGCCGGCGTTTTCATTCAACGCCTCTATAAAGATTTCAAACGAAAGTGAGTCGTCGCAAATCATCGGACGAAATAGTTCATTAACGCATCAAGATAGCAAAGTCAAGTTATATATTGAAAGTGAAAAAGACGACATCATCAGCTGTGGGGAAATAGACAATGAAGATCATGCTAACATCAACTCAGACGAAAAGGAACAGCATACGGCATTGCTCCCAAGACAGACACTCCAAGTACCTGGCAAGTATGAGGAAATCCAAATGAACAGTTTAAACAAGACACCTGATGGCCAAACGCCCTCTACTTTGCTTCCAAATAATAACAAAGAATATAGAAGTTGTCTGTCTCCAAAATGCAAAATAAAAAATGGAGGAGAAGCAGTGCGCAGACCTTCTGCATTGAGTGTGACAATAACTGAACCTGAGCTGAATAATACAGGAACGACGGCCACAGCGGGCGCTCTGTCCACACCTGAACACAAAGCAGACGGTGAATCACGGGTACATATGGCCAAATTGTCTGCATCATCCCATCAGGCTGTGCGTCGGAAGCTCTCACGTGACAAAAAATTGGCCAAGTCCTTGATTATCATCGTGGGGGCTTTTGTACTTTGTTGGACTCCTTACCAAATTTTAAACTTGGTACAAAGCCTTTGCGGAGGTGATTGCATCAACACTACATTATACGACTTTTCTTTCTGGATTCTTTGGTTGAATTCCACCCTTAACCCATTGCTGTACCCATTCTGCAACAACCAGTTTAAAATGGCGTTTAAGAAAATTCTCTGTCGGCGAAAGTTCAAACGAAATCGCCAAGCCTACACACTGAGAGAGTGCCATAGCACGACAATAACAGTTCCAAATCGTTTTGGACGCAATTACAGCGAGACGACATCTGGAATTATAAATTACAGTTAAAAAAATCGGTTATTTTGATAATGAAGTAGTTCTAGTATACTAGTAATACAGTGAATAGCTACATGGTATCTAATTTACATATTACGTGTCGTATGAGTTCGGCTAAAGAACATTACATTTTACATAATAACGTGTATACAATTTCGTAAATATGAATATTAAGTATACTCCTATCTGAATATTTGTTTGCGTTTCCCCTATCGTGCGCGAGCTGTGTGTTTTCGACTATAGGAATTACTCACATGGTACCTTGTACGCAGAATATATTGACAGAGTATTACTGTCGGTGACTCTAGAGTTCCGTTTTAGAATAAATACAGTAAACTGAGCGGTATTGTATGTGTTGATGTTCTTTATTAATATATTTGTGAATAACGTGATTACGAATGTATCGATCACTTCTGCATCTCAACAGGTTACCCTTAAGGTCTCATGCCACTAATTAACCAATGGATGCTCGTCAATTTAAATGCCTAGCAAGAACCAATGAAATTTTTTAAATATTTTTTTTCTCAGGTGCTCCCTGTTTGAGGGCGTAATCACCTGGGTCAGAGGTGAGACCAACATGTGGTCTTTTGTTTACTACTTAGCGGCTGTGTACCTGTGGGTTTATTCTGTGTGTTAATGGCTGTTCTAATCTTGGTGTTTTTCCAGTGATTTCTCTTGGTGCAATCCAAATACAGTAGGTGTGTCTTGTTTACCTGAGATTCGCAAGAGTTTGAGCTGGCCAACATGTTAGTTTTTTTTTTGCATATGGTTGATTACTGGCATGTTGATTTCCCATTTTTGAGTCATATTTTCAACTTTCTTCGTCATTTTCATATAGCAATCTCGTCATATGTTAACATTGTCGTCTATGGAAATTCAATTAGTGGTATGAGCCCCATAGTACTATGTGAAGCAAGGATTAAATAATTCACGTAAGTATTTCTAACACCGTTGTGATAGTGTTTTCATGATTCCAATCTACTGCAGTAATTTATGTATTGTAATATGACTGTATTCCTTCAAACACAGTATATAAATACATACATATTTGTCACTGCCGTCCATAGTAAAACGTAATAACAATAGATTAGTCTTATAGGATACAATGACAGATAATTTAGTTCGGTTTTAATATATACGTTGATCCATCGAGCATGTTGACATAATTAAAATTCAATTTTCAGGCGCATTTCTCGCGGAAAATCTCGCAATTTTCGTTTGAAATCATACCTCGCGATTTGATCCAGGGTATATATGGACTGTTTACATTTATACGTTACATGTTGGTTCAGTGAATCAAAGTTGTTATGACGACGGGGGGTCGAACGTCTGACTTGACTGAATACACGGCCACACACAATGGCCATTCTAAAACAACCACTTAAACGATTGGTTAACAGAAAAAGGCATAAGGTCACATCACACTAAAACACAAATCTAACTCAGAATTAGGTAAACAAAACAAATAAACTTTCAATTTCTAATGATGCTATGGATGTAATGTCACGTGACATACTCGTTAGATATACTGAAACTATTTCAGTGTTATGCACATCTATGGAGAGTATTGTGAACACGTTTGTAAAATAATATGCATTCAAATCCGAGTCTTTCACCGCACGACTTTGCTATATATTTGATCATAAACGTTATCGTAACAAAGGTATAGCGTTATAAGCTGCTAAAGGTCAGCGCGAGACCCGATAACCAAGGCCAAATATCTCGAGCTTATGTGAATATAAAGGTAAAATCCTTGCGTAGAACATGACATACTTACAAACAGACAAAGGTTAGTATATATGATGTAAAGTGACGATTTTTATGGCAAAATACTAGTTTTTTTAAAAATCATATTGTAATAACATTTTAGAGCCTTCTCCTGTCAGAATGTGTGTTGAACTATCTTTGATTTAAGGTCTGATAAAGTTTGCATTATAAACCTCTGTGCGCTGGGTATCGTTACTGACACTGTTACCGGATGGCTTCGGAATAATGTAGTAGCGAACGATGGGGTATGTCACGGTCTGTTGTGGAGACACTCACTTGCGACCTGATCTGCAGCCATACCTCGCTTAAATTTGCGTACCATAATATATCATGTCATCAATTAACTTGAATTAATAATATAGGCAATCAACGTGGCTCTCCGTCAACATTTACAAAGTAATATAATCCAAGAAAATATTATATTGGGAGAATTTAAAATTTACATAGGAACGTGATATAAACAGCAATATTGTGACCCATTTCTTGTAGGAGCATGTTATTATGAGGTTATAAACGGTATGCTCGCTTGCCGTTTATAACCTCTAAATATATATAATGTCAAAACATTCAATTCTTGTAAATCATATTATATAAGACTCCAGAATATGTCACCTCAGAAACTCCGTCAATTATTTTTTTATTGGCACTCACATCTACGATGAATGTATTAAAGATGAAGTATTCATTATTACGATATAATTATAATACCATAGATTGTAACAGCGCGTGAATTATGATGTTAACACTGTGTCGCATACGACTTATTTACCACTTCCGTGTCACTGAGAATGTTCTAGAACCGTACTGTGTCTGGGTGGAATATTCTAGATTTTTAAGAAAATGGTTGAATAGATAATAGAACACTGTAGGAGGCAATAGAAGGTAATGGAACATTCTAGAAATTGGTAGTAAGTTCCAGACTCATTATGTATGCTGATGTAATGGTATATTTATAGACAGTGCGGGTATATATAGGGGAATTGTTCAGCACTGAGATCAGATCAGATCGGAGATCTCATTGAATTGTATTGGAGTAGTGGAGTTTTACCGCGTTAAATTACTTGATGTTTGCAGAGTATAATAATACCAGTACCAGTTGAAACCTCATCTGTTGGCTCCGTGTTCGTATTCTATCATCGCCGCCAGGGAAGTCTTTCTGTTACTGTTGCCATTTTGGTATTTGAACCATCACACCTGTACTATACCAATTACGGTAATATTACGTTGTGTGTGACACACTGTTATACCATTTAGAGCCAACACCTGACCAATAGTTGTTTTTGTCAAGCCAATAAATTAAAGTTTTACGATAGACTTTCTAATGAAATGAAATAATGCATGTAAAAAAAAACATAAATGGACTATAAAGGATTTCGTTAATACAATGAATGAAAATTATACCTAACCAACAAAAGTTGAGAGATAAACAAAAACAAAACACCACAACACAATACGGAATTCACCTATTCCAACGGCGAAGGCACAACAATTATACATAATGTATATACGTATTGGCCTGGTAGATCGAGACTGATGACACATTTTTTGATTACTTTATTAATTAGGATTATCTCATATTCTAATAGTTTGCTGAACAAATATACTGTGATAGTCTGCAGTTATTACACGCTAATTCCGTAGTTTAAAAAAGACAAGACATGTGAAATGTAATTTAATTCAATTACAGTAGTAACACTGTTTTGAAATTAAACACACACGATACTCACAGGGGCGTCTCGAAATGAAAATTATAGGTTTAGCAAGGATTCAATATTGACTGGAAAAGATTGTGTAACTTTAGTTACATTTGCCGACAAGGATTTTCGAGCTGATAAGAGAGCCATAGGAGAAGATTGAATTTACTTTAGGCATCTATTGATGTTTGCTCAAATACCGGTTAACATAAAGGCGCATTATCTGCAGCATAAACCCATCCGATGTCCATGTCAACTTGTTGAAAAAGAAACGCGAGTTGAGCTTTTTATACGCCAGACACACGTCTGACTCAAATCACCGCGGCAACGGGTGCTGACTGAGCCGTATTTTTATCAATTGAGGGCGGTATACCATTTAAGTTATTTGAAGTTGAAAAATGATAACACTGCAATTTAAATGTCGCAGATTATTCATTGCACGAGGTTTGAATAGTAGAATGGGATAATAAAGAATATAACTATAACTCTGATCATATTTAAATTTCTCGTTCATTCATGATGATACATACCAAAACTACTGAATGATGATGCACTGACCAACCTCATTGGCCGTACACGCTTAATGTTTTGGATCCCAATATTACAGCACACATCATTTGACGATAACAGAGCACCAAGATTCATGTACAAATTGATACTAGAGACAATATAATACCCTGGCGAACACCAATAATCACATTATGGTACGATGACATTGCGATCGGCAATGTATGTATTGTGTCCAGAATGCCCTCTATTCATTATTTTTTCGAATAATGTCTAGTAGTTCTCGCGGCTGGTGGCATCTCAGGAAACGAGACTATTACAAGAACGATAATAATTTCTTTGAGAACATGGAAACACATATATAACCAAATTGACTGTCATCAGTAACAAAATATGATCTACGACGAACTTAAATACGTTGCAGCACTTCGGTTATTGTAGTAGCGATATGATGACCTGCTTGCTACATTATAAAATTTCCGAAGGGATTCGAATCGCTCTGAATAAACTGTCCGCATCATGACCGTTATTTGGCCGAATATTTTAGTAATATACTTATATAAAATTTAGGTTATTTAAGCTTGTTTCGTTAGAAAGAATGAAGTCATTTGAAGCAACGTAATCACGCAATGCTTTCACTATTATAATAGCGGTATGAGTCGATGTGATTTACAGTGGTTCAACCAAGATACTGTTCCATCACTGCACGTGATAATGAGTACGTCATAGCACATTTTAGCTACTGACCTCGCTCAGAAGGTTTGTATGGTTTCGCATTATTTCATTTACCATAGGATCTCATGTTACAATGCCTCACAATACAGTGTATAATTGAAAATAGGTTCCATTTATTTAACAAGATATCTCAGATTGTATGATAAAATAAAAAAAAGGTCGAGCCAGATGTTAAAATGCGAAACTTATGAAGTAAATATTTTATAAAAGTGTTACAATACAAGATGGACAACAATTTTTTTCATCATTTGAGGATAGTAATTTTTGGATTGTCCATACTGAACGTATCTAAGAAAGATAACTTATTAT